GATAAATGGATAAACCAAATTTATGGTCCATCCATACAATGGAATATTAATTTTTTTTAACTTTTAAAAAAATATTTATTTTGGCCGCGCCAGGTCTTAATTGTGGCATGTGAACTCTTAGTTGCCGCGTCCATGTGGGATCTAGTTCCCCGACCAGGGATCAAATCTGGGCCCCCTGCATTGGGAGTGTGGAGTCTTACCCACTGTGCCACCAGGGAAGTCCCCTACAATGGAATATTATTCAGCCATAAAAGGAATGAAGTTCTGATAATGATACAACATGGATGAAACTTGAGGACATTACGTTCAGTGCAGTAAACCAATCATAAAAAGACAGATACCGTATAATTCCACTTACACTCAGTGGTACTTAGTGTAGTCACAATCATAAGGACAGAAAGTAGAATGGTGCTTGCCAGGCTCTGGGGGCAGGGCGGAGTCAGGAGTTACTGTTCAATAGGTGTAGAGTTTCAGATTTACAAGACCAGGGAGTCATGGGAATGGACGGCGGTGATGGTGCACAACAATGTGAATGTATGTAATACCACTGAACTAAAAAATGGTTAAAATGGTAAATTTCATGCTATATGTATTTTAACACACAAAAAAGTCACATATTTTATGATTCCACTTATATGGAATATTCAGAGTAGACAAATCCATAGAGACAGAGAGCACATTAGTGGTTCCAGGGGCTGAGCAGAGGGTGGAATGGGAGAAGCTGCCTAAGGGGTGTGGGGTTTTGCTTTGGGCTGTAGGAATGTTCTGGAACTAGACAGAGGTGGTGGTTGCACAGCATTGTGAATGTACTAAATGCCACCAGATTGTTTGATTTAAAATGGCTACATTTGTGTCATGTGAATTTCACCTCAGCTGTTTTTTAAAGAATTAGTTCTGGTACCTTCCAGTAATTGTGATGGTAGTTTCCTTCTCACATGTGGCTTTTGTTGCTCTGTCCCCCCAACAACCCTTCCACATGCTCCTCCTATTTAAACATGTGCTTTCGGGGGAGCTTATACTGGGCTTTGAGGCTCGTCTGCTCGGTTCACATCGCCGTGATTCTCTGGGTTGCCGTCTCTGGACGGGCGAGAATCAGTTTGAGAACCAAACGCTCATTCCTTACCCAGCGTGGTACTCTGGGCTGCCTAAATGCTTCTTCCAGTTACCTTTTCTTTAGTCTCTTTGAATAATCCATAGGGAAAGCTCTGGGACCCTTGAACTCAAGTGGAGCTCATGACCTATTGATCTGGGCACTTTCACAAAGCATTTCTTTAAAAAATTCAGAAATACATTGTTAAAATAGCACATAATTGTAGTTGTAACTCCTCTTCCCTGGTGATATCTTTGAGCATCAACATACCTTGAAGATAACGTCAATGAATATTTTTCCTTAAGTGATTCAAGGAAATATTATAACTCAATCGTTTTTCTCTTATTTGTATGAAAATCTCTCTTCCTCTCTACCACAGTCACAGAATAGCCAACATTTACTGAGCACTTACTGTATGCCAGACAGTATCCTAAAAACATTGTAATACTATTATCTTCCCCATTCTAAAGATGGTGAGGTTGAGGGGCTTACCTGCCCACCCACTCAGTGGGGGAACCAGAACTGAACCCAAGCCACTATGGCCACATAGCCTGCATCCCTAACCACCAAGCCCACTGCTTCCATCCACACTGCCCTGTGTCTCATTCTAGCCAGAGACAGAGCCCAAGAGCTCTCAGAAACTCTTTCCAACCTCTTCACTCTCCGGGCAAGGCCACCTGATGGCCCGCAGCTAATTCCAAACCACCTGACGATGAAGGGAAGGGTCAGCCTTTTCCATTCACTGAAAATTCATTCAGGCATTTCTTCTCTTCTGCACCATGCACTATCATCTCCACCTCAAAAACTACATGCAAAGTTCATTCATTATGTCACACCAGGTATTGCCAAGCTGTTCTCTGTAATTGCCTTGAACCTGCTTTACTAGATTGCACTCAGGCAAGTAAAGCTTCCCAGAATCAGCTATAACCTGGCTGCTCCCTCTGAGGCCGTTACTTTATTCTTAAAAATCTCAGGAATCGTGTTAGCTCAGGTCACCGGGCAAGCCCTGCATCTGTGTAGCCCCGTGAGGTTGCGACTGGGCGGGGGAGTGACAGTGAGCTTCAGAGGAGGGGATACAGTTGCCACCTTGTGACAAATACTTGTTGAGCACCTACTGTGTGCCATGCACTACTCCAGGCACCAGGGAAATACGGGGAATGAAATAAAGCCGGTGCTGCCTGGGGAAGCAGGCTACTGAGGGTAGTCAGGATAGGGTGATGTCAGTTCAAATCATTGTGGGGCGGGGGCTGTGGAGGGGGCTGCGGCAGCATGACCCAGGGGAGCTTTCTGAGGCTAACGCGTACCAGGGTTGGGGGTCCCACGTTGGGGGGCTGCAGGCAGGTGAGACTTTGCCAGGGGAGGTGCACATACTCATTACCTGGCAGACTTGCACAGTTTTAGTGCAGAACTTCAAATTAATTCCTGTCCCAAACTGTTGTTGGCATTAGATTTAATCCCTATCCTAGGTCTCAGAAACATAAGTAGTTTTAAAGTCATATAAAATAAACTCACCACAAAGTGAGTTTTCCACAACCTGATTTTCTCACTTTTGGGGAAAGTTCTGTAAGGTTGCACACTTGTCTAAAAGTATCTGAAAGCTCTATCTTTGAGAGTTTGGGCCCAGGTGTGAACTGAGACACCTGGAAAGTTGTCCCAGATATCAGGACAGAGACAGCCTTCAACTCAGGAACATTCAGCTCGGTGATGACCTGGGTTTCCTTTCAAGAAGCATCAACTCATCCACTTTAAAATTAGATGCTATGGTGCTCCAAGAGGTGGGTGGCCACAGGTTATCCTGTAAGTGAACAGACTGAAACTCCAAGAGGCTGAACCACTGGCCCAAAGACTGACAGATAACAGCGGGTGGATGTGGGTGCACATTAAATCCAACACCCCAGGCCTGTTCTCTGGGCACCAGGTGGAGGTCCAGAGCCTCTTCTCCACTCCCAAGGCACCTGCCCTCCTTGACCCCCTTGTAGGGTAAATGGCAATTGTGGGATGCCTTCTGCTCACAGGATCCCAGATTCCCAAGGCTTCTCAGGACCAACAGGTTCAGGGCAGGACTTGCCACCTTGCAGCCCACCCCTCTGTCCCACCACCCTCCTGACCCCTTCGGAAGTGTGCTGGGCTCTTAGGTCAGACCAACTGTCTCTCTGGGATCATTTTTCTTGGCTGGACCAGTGAGCACTGGCCGCTGCACACCTGCTGAGTGCCAGGCCCTGTAAGGGGCAGAGAGATGCAGGTAAAGAAGCTGCAATCCCGAGGGCACCTCCCATGGCGAGCAGGGCACAGAAGCCCTGTTCTGACAGGGCAGGAGGATCAATACAGAGCAGAGGCACCACTGCCCCTGGCACAGCCGTGTGGAGAGGAAAGCCACCGCTTCCAGGCTGCTTCCTGGCTGGGAGCCACAGGTCAAGTGCGGAAGCCTGGCTTTCCACCATTTGTAGAATGGGTACCCTGTCCTGGAGGATGGCTGTTAGGGCTGGGTGGCTCTAAGTGACTTGATTTTTGTTCAAGCACAAAGAGAGGACACAGTAGTTCTGTTTGGAAGGAGGGAGGCATGGGAACTGGGCTTGAATGATTCTCATTAAAAAAATGCCTTGATCTGGGAGTCTGGGGTCTCCTGTGTTTGCCTGGATGATACAACCTGTGAACACACATCTCAGAGTCTCGGGGCAAATTCAGGCCGACTTTCTTTCCTTAGACCAGCATTTTTGGGATGCTTTACAAGTAATAAAGTATTCAGGTGAGACCACCACCAAGCTCATGAACTACAGACACAAAGGTCCACATTTCACAAAGGCGATTTCAGACTAGACCTACACGGGGCCCCTCTAACGGGATAAAACCACAGGTCACCTGCACCCAAGCCCCCAGTCCACTGGAAAGGTCAGGGCTCTGTTCTCTGTGGCCCACCTGGGCAAGTCCACTTGTGATCCCAACCCAGACCACTGCTCCTGTTTGCAGACTGGATGCCAAACTATGAGATCAAAACGGGGCATCTCCTCAGAAGCAGAAGTGGGTGCATTGTCTCCGTGGGGGATGCCCAGCCCTCCAGTACAGGGATGTGGCTCCACTAGGAATGCAAACGTCTTCGAGTTTGAAGGTGTCCACTGAGAGCAAACGGTGGCCTCCGAAGTTCCTCCTGATGCAGAGAGCCTGGGAGCTGGAGGGTTAGGGTCAGGAAGCCAAACCTCACTTCTGTCCACTTTGAAATCTCTTTTCAGGACGCTGAAGCCGACTTGATGCTCAGTTGTTAATTATGCAGTTTCAGCTACCTTCAACTTATTTTTTAAATTATGTGTTTTAAGTCTTAATTAGACACCTGAAAGTACCAGCTAAACTTTTAAAGTGAAAATGCTGTTGGGTAACAGGAGTAGAGTGTAATTACTGTACCAAAACACTCTGTAATCTAGTTCACAGGAAAAAGGGAAAGACAGACCCGACGCACTTTTTGCAGTTCACAGGAAGAAATACAAGACAGCTTCCACCACACTATTCTAGACCTGAAATCACTGTCTTCTTTACTAGGCAATGTTCATTATTTAAATCGACTGCCTTTCCAATATAAGTCTATCCTGGATTTTTAAAGTAAAAGTTCTTTGTCTTCGTGCACAAAGTTCATTGGTTTGTCCCACCAGTTTTGAGGTAATGAATAACTCAGGAACATTCTCATTGTTGGCGACAACTTCACAAGCGTCTTTTTGTCCTAGCCCCCTCCCCTGCACTCCCTTCACACCCCAGGAATGCAAATCTGTCTTGAAAAGCATACTTCTCTCATAAATATTCACGAGGTTAAGGGAAAAGTTTGCTAACCCTTCATTTAAGTGACCGGAAAAAGTGAAAGCTCCCTCCCGCCGCCGCAGCCGCGGCCTCAGGACCCTCCCCACAGCCGCCGGCCGTCCCCTACCTTGTTCCCCGAGCCCCGGTCGCCCCGGCCGAGCGCCGCGCTGAGGGCCATGGTGGCGCCGCCTTTGTCCCGGCCGCGGGGAGGACTGCGCTCGGAAGGCCCGCCCGCGGGGCGTGGGAAGGGCGGCGGGCTAGGGGCGGGCCCTCCCGGCCGCGCCCCCTGCCCGCCTCACAGGTGGGGCGGGGGCGGGGCCTAGGGCCTCGGGGGACGGGGAGGGGCGCCTCTCCCCCAGGGGCTCCGGCACGAAAGTGGGAGGGGGTCCCACCCCTGGGGCTACGGGGCGGGAAGAGGCGGACCCTCCCGGCAGCGCCCCCTGCCCGCCTCACCCGTGGGGCGGAGGGGCGGGACCCGGGACCGCGGCAGGGGCGGGGGGAAGGGGCCTTTCACCCCCAGGGGCTCCGGGGCGAAGGCTGGGGCGGGTTTCATCCCCGGGGACTCCGAGGTAGGAGGGGTCGTCTCTCCCCTGGGGGCTCCGGGGAGAAGGTTGGAGGGGGGTCTCACTCCCGGGGGCTCCGGGACTGGGTGTTGGAGGGGGTCTCATCCCCGGAGGCTGCTGGGCGAGGCAGGTTGGGGGCGTCTCAGCCCGGGGGTGTGGGCGGCCTTGTAGGTGCCTCGGGCCGCACCCTCACCTGGGAGAAGACCCCGCAGGGGCGGAAGGCTGGGGGCGAGCTCCTCCCTCCCCGAGCAGGGGCGGGGGCGGAATTCTTTGTGACTTTTATTCTCGCAGAGCCTGGGGACCTACCATTTTGTTCGCAGACCAGTGGCAGTGGCGCTGCACCCGGTTTCCGTGGGTGTAGACAGACTGGACTCTGATTTCTGCTGGTGAACGCTATCGGATTTTGATTTCCCCCAGTGTAGATAGATTCACACCTGACATGCAACGGTGTAGACAGACTAGTGAAGATAACTGGACCCTGATTTCCACTGGTGTAGGTGGAGCGGACCGATTTCCGCCGGTGTGGAAGGACCGGCCTTCTCTTCCCGCCAAGCGAGCTCCCTGGCTTATGGGACGCTCTCTGCCGGGTAAACAGAACTCGTGAGCCTCTGGGCCTCAGCGAGAGGCCACGTTCCCCTCCTTGGGGAGTCGGGCGCGCGGACAGTTGAACAGGCTCTCACTGGCTTTGCAACTGGAATGCCTGGGTTTCTGGAGAACCTACAGAAACAAAGTACCCCCACCTCCAGCCCCAGCCCGGGGAGACAGACGCCTTCCCTGTAGCTAGGCGACTGTAGGGCTCTGGCTTGAGGAGCACTTGCTGTGTGCTGGGGATGCAGCCGGGTTCTGAGAGGAACCCGTCCCCTCGGCGGGGGGGCGTGTCTCCCCACGCTTGTCCTGTACTGTGTCCCGACTAGAAACAGGGACACTGACTCAGTGCCCCCACTGCGGACAAACGCCCTCATTTAGAGATAAAGTTCAGTTGTGCTGGAGCTGCATGGCTTCAGGTACAGAGTGAAAGAAGCTGAGGGCGGCGGGATGAGTTCTGCCCCCTCACCCAGTACTGGTTCTTTGAATTCCTCTGTGGCTCCTCTGTTCTGCTTCCTGGAACCTCCAGCCCTTCCCACTGGGCCCAAGCAGACTCAGCCCCGTCTCAGTGCTGGGGTGTTACTCATTGTCTGCACCTCCCTGAGGCCCCCTGCCCCATCCTCTGCTCACCACTTACCTGCCCATGACACTGCAGAAACAGGAGCCACATAAACCTCGACATAAACAGGCGCTGCATAAATCTCTGTGGTCCCAAAGCACCTGCCAGGCCAGAACTGGGCTATGTTGGCATGCTTCCAGAACAGGGGACATTGTCCCTGTTCAGCGCCTCCAGGATCCGGGAACTGACGTCAGGGGAGGACAGCAGTGGCCTGGATGCTTGGTTAGGGTGCAGCTCTGGAATCTCACTCTTACCGGAGATTTTGGGGCCCATAGGGGTTGTGCCTCTGTTGCATCTAGGCAAAGCTGGGCCTGCACTGGGAAAGCCCAGGAGTCCTCATGCGCCGTCTCCAGCCGCAATTTCTAAGGATCTGATTCTTTCTTTGCTGTGTATCTATAGAGTCAGGGATGTCTTCTAAGAAGTTTTCCCCAAAACGTGGACTATTGAAATGGCTCAGTTTATTCAGAAGGTATTTATTGGTCACCTACTTCTGGCCAGTCACTGCATGGCACCTGTCAGGCCCCTTGGGGATCTGACATTCCAATGGAGAGAGACAATAAACCAATGAACAGAGAAATACCTCTGAATAAGGCAGATGGTCAAGCCAGAGAAGACTGTTCAGGGACCTGAAGAAAGGGAGGGAGGGAGCTGCTTGTGATTTCCAGGCAGAAGGAGCCACCTGTGTAAAGGCCCTGAGGCCGGAATAGATCTGGTGTGCTTGAGGGACAGCAGGAAAGCCGGTGTACCCAGGAGCACGGTGAATGAGGGTATGCATGTGCGGAGGAGACAAGGCTGGAAAGGCTGAAGGGATGAGTAAGTCCTAGTGATGAGTTTTGTTTTATTCTGAGTGTTGTGGGAAGCCACCGTGGAGAGAGTTTGGAGAGGAAGCAACATTATCGGATACATTCCAAACATCTCACCTGGCTGCAGTGTGGACACCACAGCTGCCTGAGGCAGGAAGAACGGTCAGGAAGCCACTGCCAGGATCCTGGTGAGCGCGATGGGAGCTGGCTTAAGGTAGGAATGCCAGAGGTTGTGAAAAATGGTCAAAGCAGGATCTATGTAAAGGCAGAGAGAGCTGAGAGGAGTGACCCATCTCTGGCTCTGGGGAGTGAGGGAGAAAGAAGCTGAGGAGGAAGGTGGCAGGCAGAGAATTAGCTGATCGTGGCCTCTGCGAAACGCTTCACATGCTCCCCTGGAGACCGCCAAACTACATGCCCCAGACATTACAGATGTGCCTGTTCTTGCTCTTCCATGCACCACATAAGACGTGAGAGGAGCCACGGGAGTAGTGGCTGTCTCAGCAGATTGGCAGTGGAGGTGATTGGTTCCTCTGGGGCAGTTCACGTCTTGTCCCTGGCAGCACTGTTGTCGAGCAGAAGGGAACAGGGCAGTGGGGATTTTCCTAACACAATCCTATAGCATTATCCGTAGTTCCTCCAGGTTGCTGACGTTTCTGGCTATTCCTGGTTCCCTGACCCTCTCAGAGATGGTATAGTCCACCTGATATGTTCTTTTTTTTAATGGAAGTATCGTTAATTTACAATGTTGTGTTAATTTCTGCTGTACAGCAAAGTGATTCTTTTTCATATGCTTTTCCATGATGGTTTATCTGAGGATATTGAACGTTCCCTGTGCTGTACAGTAGGACCTTGTTTATCCCACCTGATATCTTCCGTACTGCTTAAATTAGCTACAGTGGATTCTGCTGTCTGCAGTTAAGAATCAGCACCAAGACAGCAACTCAGGGATTTGGGGCCTGATCAGCAGGTGGAAGGTGATACCATTTACTGAGATGGGAGAGACTGGGGGAGAAGCAGATTTGGGAGGAGAAGACACATTAACACTGAGATGCTGTTAGACGTGTTGAGTGGACGGATTGCTGTGTGAGTTTGGCACCGAGAGGGGAGGTCAGGTTGGAAATCAGATCTGGAAGTATCCACACATAGGCATGTTTAGAGATGAGGGAACTAAATGTGCAGACAGAAGGGCAGAGGGACCAGGGCTGAGCTGAGCAACATGACGTCACAAGAGCAGATGGTCCTCCTTCTGAAACTTCCAAAAAACCGAAGAGGAGGGGATATTTCCCAGCTCATTCTCTGCAGCCAAAGCATAACAAGAAAAGAAACCTGCAGGCCAATATCTATGATGAATAAAAATGCAAAAAGATCAATAAAATTGTAGCAAATAGAATCCAATAGTATATTAGAAAGATTATTCACCATGAACAAATGAAATTTATCCCAGGAATACAAGGGTGGTTCAACATAAGAAAATCAATCAATGAAACGCATCACATTCACAGAACAAAGGGAAAAAAAAGATCATTTCGATTGATGCAGAAAAGGCATTTTAAAAATTCCAACATCTTTTCATGATAAAAGCTCTCAGAAAACTAGGATTAGAGAGAAAATTCTTCAACAGATTAAGCAGTATTTACGGAAAACCCACAGTTAACATCACACACAATGGTGAAAGGCTGAAAAGTCTCTCCTTAATAAGATCAGGACTCAGACAAGGATGCATGCTTTTAGTACTTCTATTCAACATTGTACTGGAACTTCTAGCCAGTACAGAGAACAGAAAGAGCTGTTACAGATAGCAAAAAGAAATAAAAGGCATTCAGACTGGAAAGGAAGAGGTAAATTGTCTGTATTCACAGTGACATGATCCTATATATATAGAAAAGGCTAAAGAATCCACAACTAATAGACAATTCAGCGAAGTTGCAGGGCACAAAATCAACACACACACATCAGCTGTGTTTCTGTACGCCATCAATGAAAAATCCAAAAGAGAAATTTAAAAACTAATTCCACTAATATAGCATCTAAAAGAATTAAATACTTAGGAATATATCTAATCAAGGAGATGAAAGACTTGTATGCTGAAAACTACAAACCATTGCTGAAAGAAATTAATGATGACCTAAATAAATGGAAAGACATCAGTTGTTCGTGGATAGGAAGAGTTAACATCATCAAGACGTCAATACTACCCAAAAATGATCTACAGATTCAAGACAATTCCTATTAAAATTCCAGCAGGCTTTTTCACAGAAATGGAAACTCTGATCCTCAAATCCACATGGAAATGCAAGTGGCTACTGATAGCAAAAACAATCTTGAAAAACAGAAAAAGTTGGAAGACTCACAGAACCTGAATTTGAAACTTACTACAAACTTACTATTGAAACTTACTACTATGTCTGGCATAAGGACAGACATATAGACCAATGGAACAGAACAGAGAGCCTAGAAATAAACTCTTACATATATGGTCGAATAATTTTCAACAAGTGTGTCAAGAACATTTAGTGGGGTAAGGACAGTCTTTTCAACAAGGGATGCTGGGAAGATTGGATATACACATGCCAAATAATAAATTTGGGCCCTTATCTCGTACCATATACAAAAATTAACTAAAAAATGGG